TCTGGAAATATCAGGAAATATATATATTTTACTCTTAATTATACGTTGATTTGTTCTTTTTTACTTCTAAAAATTTCACAATTAACAGCATTTTACTGTAAAATGAAATGAAATGTCTGGTTAGATATTTTACAGTTTTTCCCTGTATATAGTATGGGAACTTACTGTAAACCTATTAAGCGTTAGCTCTAGCGTTACACTCAATTTTTACAGTGTTATTATGGTTCTCTTTGCAAGCATAAAATGTGAACTTGGATTCTTTTTGGTCCACTTCAGTTTGGGTCTCTGGTAACTTTCCATTCATTCCATTAATTTTGTTTTTAGGTTGACTCTAAAGTAACCATCAAATATTATATTTTGAACAATAGAAAGTTTGGATGTTCTTGACTTGAATGGTGTTGAATAGAACAAACCATTGCTGGCCCAAGTGAGAGGGTGTTTTCATATTTTCTTGTATCATTCCCCCTGTACATTCTTTGCACTTTTTATTAGGTTTGGGCATGCACTGTGTCACATTTTAATTTGTGTTTGTGTTTTTTCTGACATGGGGAATGTTTCACTTGTTTGTTCTTACTCTGTCAAAAAAAGTTGTGCTTATTTCCTCATGTTTGCATTTTGCAGATGCAATCAGTGGGTGTGGTTATAGCTAGCTAACCCTTATTTAGTGATTTTTGTGCAGGCTGTTGAAGCCCACATTAAATTAATAAATGCTTTGATTACATTTTTTAAAGATTTTGTGCTTGCACCTCATATATTTTAAAATAATGCTACTATTAAGGCGCTGTAGACTTGAACAGTTTCCCAAATTGTGTATTTGTGGTGATAAACTTGAAGTGCCTCCCAATTTCAAAACAAATGTTGTATTTTTTAGGACACTGATAAACAATAGCAGCCACTGTCATGACCACATGATCTTTTGGTCACAACACAAGAGCATCCATTCAGTCATCATGCGCCTGCTTTAGAATCATGTTTCACTGTTTATAATCTTTGTGCTCATAATAAAGAGTCCTTTCCTGTGTAGCGATGTAAGTCAGGCCTGTTATGACATATTTGGTCATTGAGTCAACCAATCCGACTAGTCGATTTTGAGTGTATGTGGTTTTTGCACATCCTCGTATACTAATTGCTCTGACCTGTCTGGCGACACTGCCCAAAAGCACACATTACTACAGCATGAGTAGAACAGGGTCAGTCGGCCACTGCCACATGCCTGACAGTTCTCTGACCTGGCATCGGTGTTTGAAATGAGTTCATCGCTCTTCCAAGGTGGAGTGGAGAGCAAGTGTCAGTGTGGGACAAGACCAGCTGAGCATCACACAGCTGCTGAACTCCTCCTACCTTCGAGCAAAAGACCAGAAAGACAACAGGTCTTCAGAGCAGAAGGACAGGAGGAGGCCTGCTGCGGGGGATCCATGATAACAGTGTTCTTTTACTGGACACATTGTGCATTGTCTGCTGTTACTATAGAAACTGTAATTTAGACAGACATTAGGAATAGTCCTGCTGTTAAGTTGCCGTGTGGGTTGAGTCTGATGATATTCACGCGTGCAGATAGTGTCCGCTTGTGCATGCGGCAGTGCACACTTGCTTGCTTGGAAAATATAATTACTTTTCTGAGGGCTGAAGTACAGAAAGGAAATGGATGGCTTCGATAAAATCTTGATGTTATTTGTTTGATAATAATTACATTCATTTTTTTTTTCTCAGTAAAAATACTCTATTTAACATCCTTAAAGGGGTCATATGATGCTTTTTTAAAGGTCATTATTTTGTGTATTTGGTGTAACAGAATATGTTGACATGCTTTAATGTTCAAAAAACACATTATTTTTCAAATACTGTACATTATTGTAGGTCCTCTATGCCCCGCCTCTCTCAAACGCTTCGTTTTCTATAAAGTCCCTCCTTCCGACAAGCGCAGTCTGCTCTGATTGGCCAGCTGACCCAGTGCATTGTGATTGGCCGAACACCGCAAGCACTCGTCAGAAATGTAACGCCCCTTACCATAATCGCGAGCTTCATCTTTCAAAATAAATGTAAAGACAGAGCCCGAAAGGGGAACAGAGTCGCGTGACAGACACAGTGATGAAGCTGATATGTGTTTGCAGTACACAAGCCACGGTTAAGACAGCTGACTCCACTGTGATGTGACCCTGTCTCGCTCTCTCTCTCTCTCGCTCACACACACACGCACGCACACGCACACACACACACACACACACACACACGATGCGCAAAACTCCGCATTTGAACAGTCAATAGCAAATACTTAAACTAATAACAAAACAGTAGCTGATTCAGAAGCGCCAGATTGTCATAGCAAAGTCAGAATTACCTCCTCTCCTAGGTTCACGAAACGGTCGTCCATAAAATGCATTGCTGTTCTGTTGTAAGTAATCTTAAAGATTCCTAAATGCATCTACTTTCGGAAGGCCAAATAAAGTGCTTTTGATTAAAATTGTCTAAAAAAACGCTAAAGCTAAAAAAGCTAACTTCAATAATTTAAAGTGATACAAGTGAATTTAGGCATCACAAAATTATAATATATAGTATGAAAAATAGATTTTTGAGATTTGCATTATATAGTGTTGTTAAATTACATATGTTTTTAAAGATGACAGCAAAAGTAATCTAAATATAAAAATAGGGGAAATGAGCATGAACAATTAAATATCCAGTATCAACTGATACTGTTAAATTGGCCAAAGGTACCAAAATATTATGCATTCTTATTAAAGACAAGTTTTTATATTAGTGTTATATTAGTAAGATATAGATTAGTGAGATATTACTACTTATTTTATAGAATATAACTTGAATTCTTTATTTTTTATTATTTTTCCTACCCTACTGGCAGTTGTTTTCTTGTTTTAAGCATCTCTCTAGATATAACAACAACAAAAAAACACTTTTAGTCAGAATTCATAATGTGGGCTGTTGGGAGGAAACGAGGGACCCTCTCCGCCTCACACACACTTTTTATTCAGTACTTCTCCAGCTACCACATAACATCATTTTGATTTGTACCTTGTTTTTAAAAAAAAAATCAAAAACCCAAATGAAAATCTGTGACATGAATCAAGTTAATTTCATATTGTTTTAACAAAAGGAGTAACTGTACATTTCTGCATTTAAACCCCTGAAATGCTCAATCTTGTTATCTTCAGTTATAAGTGCGTTCATGTAATCACATTTATTATTTATTATTTGTGTGCCTGAAATAATTTCCTATGTCTATAAAGGGATAGTTCACCCAAAAATGAAAAATGGCTGATAATTTTCTCACCCTCAGGTCATCCAAGATGTAGGTAATGTTTTTCATCAGTTGAACAGTAAAGAAGATTTTTAGCTGAATCTTGGTCCTTGGTGATACATAAAGTGCAAGTCAACGGTTACCATCACTCTGAGAGTAAAAAAAAAATCATATGTGGCAAAACAAAATGAATACTCATGGCTTCTGATGATATATTGTGGTCTTATGAAGTGAAACGATCAGTCTGTGCAAGAAACTGAACATTACTTACAACATTATTACCTGTAATCCAAACGGGGAAATCCATTTCTTGGCTGCAAACTGGTTCTTTTGAACAGTTTGTTACAATGAACTGGTTCAAATAAGTGATTCACTACTTAATTTACCAAATCACACAATGACATAATGTATATGCAATTATAGTAAAGCACTGACTAATGATGGGAAATGTGGATGTTTTACATGTCTAAAGCATATAAAGTGAATAAACTAGTCTTAAGGCCCGTTCACACCAAGCACGATAACTATAAAGATAACGATAAAGATATAGTTCTAAAAATCGTTCTCAATATTAAAGAATAGCAGAGTCCACACCACAACTATAACGATAACGATACAGAGGAACGATATCGTTGTGATCACTTTCAAAACTATTTTTTTTCCAGCTGATGAACGATAAAACACTGACAGCCAATCAGAATCCATCCTGCTGTAACGAGCGCAAGAATTTAAAGTGGTAGACGCATGTGCGTTTTAGAATAAACAGATGATATCGTTTGCTGGTGTGGACGCTAATATTATTATCTTTATAGTTATCGTTCTTGGTGTGAACGGGGCTTTAGTCAACTCACCGTTTTACATAAACTATGAGAAACCATAAAAACTTTCATTTCGCCCCTTCATTCAAGTGCTCGGTTTACGCATGCACTTATCACTAGCTCATCGGTCCTTGGTCCGAGTCATTATAGGATCATATGCGATGGTATAATGGCTCATTTCGAGTGACTGTTGGGCACATCTTAAAGTGAGTTTTGATTGAGAAACTTGTACATCTGTGCTCCTCTAGTTGAGAACTGTTGACATGAATCAAGTTAATTTCATATTGTTTTAACAAAAGGAGTAACTGTACATTTCTGCATTTAAACCCCTGAAATGCACAATCTTGTTATCTTCAGTTATAAGTGCGTTCATGTAATCACATTTATTATTTATTATTTATTATTTGTGTGCCTGAAATAATTTCCTATGTCTATAAAGGGATAGTTCACCCAAAAATGAAAAATTGCTGATAATTTTCTCACCCTCAGGTCATCCAAGATGTAGGTAAAGTTTTTCATCAGTTGAACAGTAAAGAAGATTTTTAGCTGAATCTTGGTCCTTGGTAGGGATGCACCGATACTGGTATCGGTATCGGGCCCGATACTGGTCTCCTGTACTCGTACTCGTACTCGTTAAAATGCCCCGATACCAAACGCCGCTCACCGTTTTACATAAACTATGAGAAACCATAAAAACTTTCATTTCGCCCCTTCATTCAGTTGCCCAGTTCACACATGCTCGTAACACGAGGGTGATTTAATCAACACCAGATTTTTATTGTTGAGTGAACTATCACTTTAAATGGACTACTGGATATAAATTTGCATTTGGTAATTTCCAGCATCATCATCCTACACACGCAACCCTTCCCCCATCTGTACCACTGACTTCTTACTTACCCAGAATCCTTTCTGCTTCCTTGCAGGAGTGTCCTCCCGCTTTCCAGACATCATGGCTGCTGGCACTCACTCTCCTGGAGGGCCCAATGGCATCATCAGGAGCCAGTCGTTCGCTGGCTTCAGCACCCTGCAGGAGAGACGCTCACGGTGAGGTCATCGGCCCTGTCAGAGGCTAAAACACCAACCCCCCTCCCTAGATGAGTTACTCCAGCCACTAGATGAATATAAAGCATCAGTTTTGCCACTATGGAAGACGAAATTGTAAACACCAAATCCATAATGCTTGCTGAACATGTTAAAACTCTTAATTCCTCCCATTGCTGCAATAACCGCTTTCACTTTTCTGGGAAGACTTTCCACTATTTTTTAATTTAAAAATAAACTTAAAAATTACAAAAGAACTGCACATTATATTCATGTGAAACAGTGGATGCAGTAACAGCATTAAAGAGTGTGTTTTTTGCAATGCACGCTGACTTATCTTAGCATGACGGAGTGCATCGTGAGTGGATGACCCTTAGGCAACAGCATGTGCTCATTCTACATAATGGCCTAGATTTACTGTAGCACTACTTCCAGTGCTTTTTTTTTTTTTGTCTGCGTGTGCGTCTGACACATTCAGACATGTTGAGCCACCAACTGCCACTGTGTTATTATGAAACCGGAATATTATTAGATGTGGTGGACTGTGACAACAGAAGTAGTCTAAGGGTGCTTTCACACTAGCACTTTTGGTGCGCACCCGGGTTCGATTGACGTCAGAGTTCGGTATGTTTGGATGATGTGAACGCGGTCTTCCGAACTCGGGTGCACACCCGCGAACCGTACCCGAGTCCGCTTAAAAGGGGTGGTCTGGGGTACGGTTCAAGTGAACTCTGGTATGGTTCGCTGCTGATGTGAATGCAATCGTACCAAATCACGGAAGTGAACCGCTATTAATGACGTATTATTTGATAAAATGTGTTTGTGTGTGTTTCACTCACTTTCCTGACGCGCTGCAAGCAGAGAGCTGTATATCTCATTTCTGTTCATCTTCAGAGTTCTTTAGGGCATTTGCAGTAAGGCAGACGTAAGGGCCGTTAAGTACGGAAGCTTTGGAAACAAAACCAACGGTTCAAAAGCATAAATATAAAATTGAAGAGAGCAATGCTACGCATTTTGCCGTCTTCTCCTGCGCCATCGTTCTCGGGTTCGGACCAAGCAATCGAACCAAGTGTGAAAGCACCCTAAAATAAGCACCCTGCCTTTTGACAGAGTCTTAAATGTCAGGAAGCATTGAGGAAGAGTGACATTAGATGTACAACACTACAAGCTTTATCCGCATATGACATGAATCCCCAATCTCCCAAAAGAGAAGAGTAACGTCAGTGTGAAAAATAAGGCTTTTTTTTTTTTTAAAGCAAAAAGTAATTTCTTATTTCTATCTCATTTTGGGGTGGCGAAGGACCACCACATGTTCTTGACCGGATTATTTAAGATTCATTCACATCTGTTTGTGTTTTCAGGTGTAACTCCTTCATGGGGAACTCAGCAGTGCAGAAGAAGCCCATGTCAAAGCCCAGGAAGCCCCATCTGTCTGGGCACAAGTCGAGCAGCAGCAGCAGCTCACGAGAGCCGCAGCCCAAAAGAGTGGAAGAAGTTTACGGAGCCCTCAAACAAGGCCTGGAGTGAGTGCTGCTCAGATGTCTCCTCTGACTCGCATTTCTCCTTTCACATAGATCTTCTCTCTCAACTCTTGCTACAGTCATACTGTACGCACATTGACTGCATTAATCACTGCTGCTCAGAATGACTGTGATGCAATCTTTGTGTACGGCCATTCTTCCTGCATCATTCTGAAGTCATTTTCTCTTACTGTCAGTGAATATCTAGAGGTGCACCAAACAGAGCTGGATAAACTCACTTCCCTCATGAAAGACATGAAGAGGAACTCCAGACTGGTGAGACTGGATATGACATCATCAGGGTGCCTACACACTACAGTTTACGCTGCGTCAGAGTACTGCATATCTATTGATTTCAATGGGCGACTATCATGAGTTGTGAAGTCAAAGGCAGCAACTGGTGAAACACTGTAGTGTAATGAAATGTTCACAATTTTAATGTTGTTTGTTGATTTAGTCAGAATACAAGATTGGCTTTTGCAGCTAATTGGTGCAATTCCAGCATCTACCAGCAGTGGCCAATGAGGGCATGCTAATCAGCTAAACAGTTATATAGATATCCATTCAGGATTGAGTTTCTGTGGTTTCGAAAGTCCAATTCAGTGTATTCCTGAACCCGTCTCTTTAAACCTCATCAAAAGTCAATTTAATCGACCTTTTGCATGTCTGGACTTTCTGTAGTGTGCAAGCACCTTTACTCAGAATTACTGTTAGAGTGTATACCCTGCTGAAAAACTAAAAAGGAATTCAACAAGGACACATTAAATTTGATTGATCAAATAATTCTGAAAAAACTATCATTGGTTCCACAAAGATATAAGAAGCAGTATAGCCGGTTTCAGCATTGATAATAATAAGAAATCTTTCTTGAGCAGCAAATCAGCATATTAGAATGATTTCTGAATGATCACGTGACACTGAAGACTGCAGTAATGATGCTGAAAATTCAGCTTTGCATTACAGAAATAAATTACATTTTAAAATAAATTCAAATAGAAAACAGTTTTTTTAAATTGTAATAATATTTTGCAATATAACATTTTTTTACTTTATTTTTGATCTAATAAATGTTGCCTTTGTGAGCATAGGAGACTTAGAAAAAACATATATTATAACGAAATAACGTATTTGAAGATCTAGAAATGCTTTAAATGAGGTGTTTTACTTGAGAAGCAACACTGCATAAGACATTAAGACTTGTCTTCAGAGAATGCATTTTTAATATGAGACATTTTGGCGTACTGCAGTGGCAGATTTTTTTCTTTTTATAAACAAATAAAAAACAAGTGAAAAGAAGAAATTAAAAACTCATTAAGAAGTCATTAATTGCAGTGCAGCATATGCTTTAGTTGGATGCTGGTGTGCTGGTGTCAGACTTTATTTGCTAAAAGAAGCAAGAAATCCCTGATCAAGTATTTTCAGTACTTCATCAGTTTGTTTGTTTTGTTGCCAGCATGGCTATATTGATCCACCAGCTTGACCAGCATTAAACAGCGTAAACCAGCCTGGACCATCATGGATTTCATGCTGGTCTAAGATGGTCTTTTCAGCAGGGTTTTTGTCCAAATATCAATTTTTTAATAATAAAATATAGATTTTTGTAGCATTTCCACTGATTTCACATATCTTTCTTTCTTTTTCAGGGTGTGCTGTATGATCTGGACAAGGTAGGGTCCCTAAACACACTAATGCTTCTTAACCTGTCTGAGGTGACCTGTATTAAGAAGTTTGAAGTCAGAAACATATGCTTCATTCGAATGATGTGCTGCATTCGTGTAGCAGTGATCCGTTATTGCGCCACTCTAATTGCCGCTGGTGTCAGCTGTGTTGAAAATTAGGGACTCTTAGCCTAGATTCATCCCTGTGTGAAAAACTTTTTTCTGTTTGGCCTTTTCTCTTTCAGTTAATAACTGTGCTTTTTGACATTTTCTCTTCTTGCTTCCTAGCAAATGAAGACCATAGAGCGTTACATGCGACGACTGGAGTTCCACATCAGCAAGGTGAAGTTCATGCCATTTCAATATATATATATGTGTGTGCTTTTCGTTGTCTGTTTTATAGATTGGAAAAAGTGAAGGCAGTACAACAAGTGAAAATAGTTATTTTCTAAGAGCGCTTGTTTCCAATGAATGTCCCGACTCATTTCGAGTCTCCTGGTTTGACATTCTCCAGTGTCTGGAGTCCTGCTGTGTCCCCTTCTTCTTGCAGTGTGTTTTAGTGACATTACAGGTGGGTGTCTGCTGTAAACTACAGTGCTGATTGGCAACTCAGCAGCACGTCTAGTCCCGAAGTAGCCATGGCAACCTGACGATAGGAGCTTTGAGGCTGTTGAAGAGCAATTCATAGCTCAAATTAGCCCTACGCACTTGAAATTAGCCCCGCATTCTGCTAGCTCACTGGAACACTCTGAACTGTGCGGTAGTATACAGATCTCAAAAAATCAATTCAATCATTATTTTTTTTGTTTCCGCCCTTATAAAGAACATTTTGTGTGTGACTTGCAGAAGTGTTTTGTTTTCCCCTGTGTTTTATGCTGTTTATGGTTGCCACTGGATCTAGGTCAAAGCAATTCCCTTGAGTGACAAACAAACCTCTGATGGCTCAATCCAGGGTGATAATGAGCGTGTGCATGTCTAAATAGGAGGGAAATGCATTTTCTTTATGATTTTGGTGAAACAAAAAGGGAAAGTTTATGTTCAAAGCTGATTTTAGCTATTTAGATCGCATGGATCACAAATGAGTTCTCTTTAATACCTCAACTATTTCTCTCAGGCCGAATAAATATAGAGCAAATGGACTCCTACTTACTAGGTAAAGACCCTAGTAATCTCATATGTATCTTCGCTGAAGCTTCAGAAGAGATCATAACACTTGTTCAGATTTGCCAACATAATAGTGGTGTCAGGTTCGTGAAGAAATCATTATTTTGAACCGGTTCTTTTTAGTGAACTGTTAAACCAGTTCAACAAATTAGACTAAATCTTGGACTTAGACATGGACTTTTCTTCAATAACATACTGGAAATATGCATAGCACATCTAGTTATATTAAGTAACATTATTATTATTATTATTTCATTTAATAAATAGCGTGATAGCATTGCATATCAATGATGCCATAACATGATGACCTAAAGGAACTGGTGAACTGAACACAATATTATATTATATTATACAATACTATATTACATTACATTACATTACATATTAATGACGTTATTACACAATGACACATGATGAACAGGTGAATTGTTTTTTTGAACCGGTTCACAGAATAGAATCAGGCTTACCATCACTACATGATTCCTGCAATCATAATTTCAATGTGAATTTTAGAATAAACTTCCAATTTCTCATTGAAATTTTTTTTTTAATCAAATTTTTCTAAGATCAAATTATACGGGCCATGTTGCTATCCACATTAATTTAAGGTCTGGCAGTAAAAGCCTTGATATTTATTGTTGGAGGAGGAGGATTTGTTACAGGAGCAGGGCTGGATGAATTCAGGGATTCAACTTCTCAAAGAGGGTTTAAACGTGTTGACAGTCAACAGTTACTGTTAGTCTGTTAGCATGCTAGAGCACAGCAACCCTCTCCACAAAGTTAATTCCTAATAGGTTGAGTCGTCTCCTTTTTTTTCTCTTGTAAAGCAGGCAGTGTCTGTGACTATTTTAGTTCCATAGCCTCTGTTGAAAGACATCAGCACATAATATCCAGCACATTGGTCTGTGAGAGCTGTGAGTAAAGAGTCCAGCGATGGCTGTGGGAAAACTAATGTCTATAATTATATCATTATTTTATGTGTCTCTCACAGAAAGTACATAGATAACTCAGCCTCAGACTCTCAGCAGAGGTTTGTGCTTTTAAAAATAAACTTTATAACAACCCTAGTTGTCCTGCTTGCCCATAGGAAGTTAGGCAATATGAACAGGAAGTTTCAAAAGGCCTCAGCTTGCAGTTTCTGATCTGGCTTTGGACCTCAAAGATGTTTGATGTGCGTGAATTATTGTAGGTTTAATCTCTGTTTAGTCAGTCTGGCATCCCCCCTGAGTAGGGGTCTAATTCCTCTGATCACAGCTGATACATGCCTGTAATTTAAGAGGATTTTTCCACCTCGTCCATTTAAAAAATCCTCATTGTACAGTGATACATATTAATATGCCATGTATGTGTCCACTCTTGGTCTCATTCCTTCTGTTGTTTTTGTGGTGTGTGTGAACCAGCTGTGTATTCTTGGCTTGTTATTTGACTCAGTAGGCCTAATCCGAAATCCCGCACTTGCGATGGACAGAGGGCTGACAAACAGCTGCTCACACGCATGCATGGCTGGGTTGAGTTGCGCCTTGGACCTCTGCTGTCAACCAAAAAGAAGTCATGCCCAAGTAGATCAAACGCATTCCCAGCGGGAAGGACTGTTTGCAGAAATGCATATTTGGGTGTGTGTCACTCAGTTTGCCCCAGATTCATCATCTTCCACACCAACATACTTCTACACACCACACCACTAATACACTCTCACATTATATTATATTATATTATATTATATTATATTATACATTTTCTAAAACTTGTACATTTTCTTGTACTGTGTATCCTTGTGAAAAAGAAGCACTTTAGCATACTTTTAAAGAGAGTACTTATTATGGAAATAATGTACTTTAATAATCTGAAGTGTGAATGTTTTTAATGTTTTTATGCACTTAATTGAATGTTAATTTATATTAAATGCAATAAGCTGAACTTTAGTTTAGTTTACTGCTGAATGAACTGACAACTAAAAATACTAAATAAACTAAAATATACTAATAGACATTTTTAATAATGATAACTTCCAAGTGCATTTAATTTTATAATATTATCTGCAAGTGTATATATATATATATATATATAATACTTGCACTTGAAGTGTACTATATATACAGGGAAGTGTAGTGTGTGTATATATGTGTGTGTGTATATATATATATATATATATATATATATTTATATATATATATATAACTCTTAAGATCTGAAGTACACTTCTTTTTATAAAGCACACTTTTTTTAACAAGGGTAGGGCTGTGGTATATTGTAATTTATATATTATATTATATTTTTAAAAAGCTTGAAAAATTAAGATGTACAGGTGTAAGGAAAATATATTAACACTTTTTGAAAACGGTATAAAAGTTTTTAAAAACCATATGAAACCAGCAAAGAGTTCATTTCAAGAATGAATACAAGAGTTCAAGAAATTGGAATCTTTTAAAAATCGTTTAAAGCTGCCTTCTCTTTGTTGTGGACACTCTTATTTGTCATGGACCTATCTATATTACGAAATTCATACATTTTTAAGCGTGGTGTAAGTGTCCAAATACTTTTTGAGGCCACTGTATCTTGAGGACTGTTTAGACGTGTGCTCAGAGGAAGTGGTCATAATGCGGCAGTCACCGCAGGGCTGTCTGTTTGTGTCGCCACGGGCACTGCCTGCGAGAACAAATGCTGTGGGCACAGCAAATGAGATAGAAAGCGGTCTTTGAGTGGAAATGAATATTTAACTGAGACGATATCAATCTGGCTGAGTATCAGCCGACTGTAATGGCTCAATGCTCTGCTGTGTCCGTATCAAACAAACACAAAGCTCTGCCAAACCCTCTGCTGACAGCCACAGCTAACCTGAGCGGCACACCATCCTGTTAGTCACGAGTCACTCCTGTTTAGACTCATTCCGTGGATACCTTTGGTAAATTTGGATGACATTTGTGTGAGCATCCTGCAGATAACATAACACTTGAGCCCTCAAATCTCATTTACAATCGAATATTCATACATCTTCAAATATGCACTCACTATGATAAGAATGATTGGCTCTGGCTCATACATTGTCACATGATCAGTTGTGTTGCAGCATGAATGAATATTCAGTGGTGCCAGTGAGATTTGATGAAGGAAATGTTTTTAGTGAATAATGACTTAAAGGGTTAGTTCAAAATCCTGTTGTCATTTACTCACCCTCGTGTTGTTCCAAACCCATAAGACTTTCATTTATCTTTGGAACACAAAAGAAGAAGAAAGCCCACATCACACCTCTCTTCATCAGTTTGCACTGGCTGCCAATAGCCGCTTGCATCAAATTCAAAGTACTGAAGTTTGCCTACAAGACAACCACTGGCTCTGCACCAACATACCTAAACTCGCTAGTTCAGACTTATGTGCCCTCCAGAAGCTTGCGTTCTGCAAGTGAACGACGCCTTGTGGTGCCATCCCAACGAGGCACAAAATCACTATTTTATGGAGTATTTCATGGTACCTTTATGGTGCTTTATGTTCTTGTTTGAGCTTCAAAGTCCCTGTTTACAGAATGTTTTCTTTGTATGGAAAATTCATTTAAATTAGACACTGAGCTGATAGCTACAGTTAAGAAAAACTGTGTTTTTCCAAAGGCTTATTTATTGTCAAAATGCAGCTCATAAAAATTCACCCATCAGACCCCACCCGACAGCCAGAATGGACCGGGCTGGGGGCGGTTATGGTGATTAATTTCCCATGCTGCTTAGCTGCTGTGGCAGATGAGAGGAGTCAGACAAGGGGTTTTACGGAGCCAAATAAACAGGCAGCTGTGTACCACATATGGGCTGCGATTGGTGACAGTACGCATGTGTATGTGTGTGGTACGCGGTGCAGTTCTCCAGACTTGGGTGGGGTCTTTCCTCCCAGTGTAATTAAACCCACAGGACCACCGTCCAGACACTCTATCCCCACATGCACACAGCTAACTGTCTGTCTAATGTATGTCGTTTATCATGAACAACCCCACACATCATAGCACACATGCACATCCATCATACGCACAGTTAATATACCCCATCCACACACACTAATTGGGTTAGATTGTCCTGTTTCTCACCCTTTCCCCTTAATGAGAGACTTCAAAAAGCCCCGGATCAATATTTCACGTCCCTTTGCTGCGTGTGTTTGAATATTTCCTTTTGATTTAGTATCCTGACATGTTTTGTTTTCGTCTGTAAGAGGCCAATCTGTATGTTATGGAGGAAATCTTTGTACAGACTTCCTCGCAGAGCGGCGCTCAGTAGGGCACATCCTTGGCATCACAGCAGGGTTTCCTACAATATTCTGTATTTCCGGGGTGGGGGCAGCAACCTCCCTCACTCAAACTTGAAAATGCTTCTAACATTTTGATAAACATTAACAATTCAATTTCTTCCAACATAAATTTTTTTTTATTAAAATACCATTATAACAAAACTCTAAAGCTCCATTCTACACTATTAACTTGTACTTGGTATAAACTGATTTAAGTTTCAATAATCCTACTTACTTAAATGTACCTATTTTGAACATTGCTCTTAGTAACAGTAACTGTTCTCTGCTTGTGTTGAATCAGACATTAATAATAATGTCATTTAGTGAGCGAGCGAGTCATCTGAGCTGATTCCTGAGATGTCAGATTGATTCAGTCCATGATTCAGAACAATGATTAAAACTGCTTTGCCAGGCGAGCATTTTGTTAGCTAATTGGATGGCACATTGCATTTTGTTGTTGTTTTTTAAAGTTTTTTTTTTTAGTCAGTAAATAAAGCATAAACACAGTGACATACAATGCACATATATACAGTATATTGCAGTCATTGTGCTTAACACTCAGGAAACAATGTGGTAATGAGCACTCATCTCATTACCACAAAAACATATTCTGTGTTCCGTATTTACAGAAACTGAATCAAAATGCACTGGAACTCAATACAAATAAGCAATAATTAAATAACAAAACAACTTTCCCTGCACTTTGTGGGCTTCGCATTAACCACATTAATATTTCTATAAATGGCAGCTGCCATCAAAAGAGTACAACTGATTTAAATTTTTTATACACTGCTGTTAATTTTTTATTGAGTAAAGTAATAATTTTACTCAGCAGCATGCATTAAATTAATCAAAAGTGACAGTAAAAATGTTATAATGTTAATAAAGATTTATATTTCAAATAAAAGTTGTTCTTTTTGAAGTTTATATTAATCAAAGAATCCTGAAAAAATTATTGCAGTTTCCACAAAAATATTAAGCATCATGTCTGGTTTCAACATTTATTATAATAAGAAATGTTTCTTGAGCAGCAAATCAGCATATTACGAGTGATTTCAGAAGGATCATGTGACACTGAAGACTGGAGTAATGATGCTGAAAATTCAGCTTTGCATCAAAGGAATAAATAACACACACACACACACACACACACACACACATATATATATATAACATATAACATATAACATATATAAAAATATATAAATAGAATTAAATATAATATTTCACAATATCCTTGTTTTTAATGTATATTTGATCAAATAAATGCAGGCTTGGTGAGCAGAAGAGTTCTTTTAGGAACATTAAAAAGACTCCACACTTTTGAACTGTAGTCTGGTTTGTTTTATAAAGAAATGACCGTTAAAGAGGCTCTCATTAGCTAACAAACAGATGCTCCACTAGGAACAATCAGTTCAAGTCAGCTCTAAAGGAAACCGTTTTAATGGCTTAAAACAGCTTAAAAAAATCATTAATGGCATAAACATAACACATTAACACATCCTTAATACATGTATAATTTTGACACTACAGATTCAGCAGTGATACAGGAAACACTGCATCACAGGAAGTCACTGCGGGATCTCGTTTAGCTCCAGTGTCCATCCCTCTTCCTGCCTACTCTATTTTCTCTCCCCCATCATTCTCTTCTTGCTGGCCCTTTCGGCTCACTTGTTTCTGTCACTTGCGGTCCATCTCCGCATCCTCGTTTGCCCCTCTTGCTATCTCTCCATCCCCCTCAATCACTCTCTCTTCAGTGCTGGTAGGATTAGCATAGCTAATTTGAGCCGGCCAGTGTTCACTGAGTTGTGAATGTGCTAAATGTGCATTTCCATGATAAAGGCCGTGGCTCCGACATGCTCGTCTGTCACAGAAGTATGGCATTACTATTGTCCCCAGGGCTGTTGAGCCGCATCATTTTGTGTTTGCTTTTGAAGTGTTCAAATTCATTTTTCAGCACTCTGTACAGTACGCCGCTCTATTGTGCTGACAGAACGTTACAGTAGATTGTAAAAGCCACGTTTCTGTGCTGAATGGGGTCCCCCAGGGCTCTGTAATGATGTATGCTACCACTTTAGACATCAAAGCTAGCGTTTATGCAATCTTTAGTGAGCGTTAGCATGCGTGAGCGTGTGCAGTGCTGCTTTTGTGTAATATAAGCCTGTGTACCAATGCGGTGTGTGTGTGTGTTTTTACAGGTCGACGAGCTGTACGAGGGCTTTTGTATTCAGAGTAGGTTGCGTGATGGCGCCAGTAAGATGAAACAGGCCTTCACTGCTTCACCCTCCACTAAAGGCACACGTGTGAGCCTGGCGGAGGTCAACCGCAGATACAAAGAGTATACAGAGGTACATTATTAATGTTTGTTTGTCTCACCAGTTTTTTTCGGACTATGTTCACACATAGAGTGCATATTTTAAAATCAACTAGAGTGTGGATTGTCTGAATGATTAATCGACTAATTGGTCTGTGTAATTAGGCTAGTTTCGGGTTCACCTGTTTCTGAGAGGGCATTTACATAAGACATATCCTGAATAAAATGTAGGACTTTCCACAAAAACATAAAACAGCACACCTCTTTTCAACATTAATAATAAGAATAAAATTAAATTGAGAATAAAATAAAATATGAATAAAATTAAATTGTAAATAATATTTCACAATTTTATTGTTTTTACTGTATTTTGATCAAATAAATGCCGCCTTGGTGAGCATTAAAGACTTCTTTCAAAAACAAATGGTAAAAACGGTAAACGGTAATGTATATTAAATATTTCTTGTAATAAATAACTAAAAACACGATTTGTCTTCAAACTTTTGCTACAGTTATATTTATTTACTATAATTAGAATTGCATATAACATATGCAAACAAACTGCCCACAATAATGACATTATATATAATAATAAATATACCCTTTTTTATTTATTAAATAACTATAATGCAGATTACTGTTTAGTAAAAATAGTTCAGTAAGAAATGTTTATGGCCAATTTAATATCTCATTTGACCTGTCATTCATATTCAATGTGTTCCCATCTCAGAACATGAGCACTTTTGAGGCTGAACTGGAGAACCTTTTGGGGGAGTTTCATATCAAAATGAAAGGTACAGGATTTTTGCACCAAAATGTTGAAAAAATCTATAAAGTATTTGTTGTATTTCAAACTTGTCAACTCCTTTGCTTCTTGTCTCAGGATTGGCTGGTTTTGCCAGGCTTTGTCCCGGCGATCAGTATGAGGTGAGTTGTTTGAAAAACCAGAACATACTGATTTTCATGCATTTTTTCTGTAATAAAGCCAGATGCATCTGTCCTCAATCAAATTACTAAATGCTTATATTAATTGCCTGCTGTTCTGCCAAGTACATCCAGTTCATTCGCAATCACAGCTCTCCTAGCAGCGTTTTCTCTTCTGATCCACAAGTACATACACCCACCAAACCCAATTAGATTTTGTAAGGCTGTAAACTCCCATTGCTTTACTGCTCTATTAATAATTATGTGAACTTGTGTTGGCAGCTTTTTCCTAATTCTGACATTTTTAGTTCTTTTTGCCTCTCTCTTTCTTTTTCTGGCAGATTTTCATGAGATACGGCCGACAGCGGTGGAAACTGAAGGGGAAGATCGAAACGAACTCCAAGCAGAGTTGGGATGGAGAGGAGATGATCTTCATGCCCCTCGTTACAGACCTCATCAACATCAAGGTGGGCTCCAGTCCACACACTCTTCCATGAAAGAGTGGAGATGATCTTAATGCCCCTCGTTACAGACCTCATCAACATCAAGGTGGGCTCCAGTCCACACACTCTTCCATGAAAGAGTCCCAATGTAACAATGTGACTAATTCTGACAATGACAGACTGGGCTGTAACCACCAAAGACATTCGAAAAAAAGACACGTCCCCTCAATATTGATCAACATTGATTCCTAAAATGTTACATTTCGTCCCCTCAATCTTGAATATTTGGTTACAACCTTGATGAATGCAAGAAAAACATATTCTTATGAAGAAAGCTATGCATTTATCTTGAATTAAACATTTCTGAATTGACATTTCTCAATTCTTACCTTAATTCTCCTAGGTGACAGAGTTAAAGGGGCTGGCCACTCACATCTTAGTGGGTAGTGTGATCTGTGAAACCAAGGATCTGTTCACCGCTATGCCTCAGGTGGTAGCTGTAGACGTCAACGACCTGGGAACCATTAAACTTAACCTGGAGGTCGCCTGGTTGTAAGTGACGTTATCTAATAAAACAAGATAAGAAGTGTGGCGTTTCAGTGAATTTAGTCACAGCAATTGAAAGTGATGATATGATATACAATGCCCTCTTCAGGACAGTCAAGGAAGTCACACTGAATTACTTCTGCTTAACATTTAATGGGGCTTACACAGTAAATCTTGTTATTTTGATTTCTATAATTTTTGTGTTTTCTTTCATTAAAAATACTTTTGTATGATATTAGATTGCTGTACATGAATGTATGTCTGTTTTACAGTCCGTTTGACGTGGAGGATCTGACACTGTCCTCAGGAAACGTGAGTAAAGCCACCGCCCTTCAGAGACGAGTTTCAGTGTACAGCCAAGGCACACCCGAGACGCCCACTTTCCAGGACACGTCTTTCTTTGTGAGTGCACTTCTGAAAAATCCTCTCAGTTCTGTTTAAAGTCCTGCTTCCATCACCATGCTAAACCCATAAGCTTGATTTGCAGCTGCAACATTATACACTTAAATCCTGGCCTTGTGAAAAAGAAGTGCACTTTAGCATACTTTTAAAATGAGTACATATTACAGAAATAAAAGAATATACTTAAGTGTGAACTAAATGTTTTCAGACACTTAATTGCATGTGGTTTAAAATGAAATGAAAATGTATTATAGTTTAAATTTATATTAAATGCAACTTTATATGAAATTTCATAATTACCTAGAACATGTCATCTTTAAAGTGTGCTGTGGATGTACTGATAAGCATTTATGGTAAACTATAATATACTTTGATGTCATTTTAATAGAAACCTGTATGTATTTAAATATATTTGTAATTACACATTTGTAATGATACATTTGCTATTTAAAACATTTAAAATACTAAAATACTACTAACTTTAGATGTAATATCAAAACAACTTTTAAAATAAAACTTTTTACTTAACATTATTACAGAGGGCACTTTTTAAAAGTATACTTAAGCGTGTTAAGAAACATAGTCATGAAAGTGTAAACTCTCCTTAAATAGACTTAAGTGGCCTTTTATTTAATTAATATTATATTATCTGCAATTAGTTTTTTTTATAGTATAATTACCATATTTGAAGTGCACATTCAATATAGTAAAGCGCACGTGTTTTTCACTAGGGTGTACATACAGTATCGCACAGGATATTGAGGTTTTGAAATTAGGTGTTAGATCACACTGTCACATTTCAACAGCTGAGTACTTAACTAAATATAACACTACTGATTCCGGCTAACTGTTCTGGGTTCAGTGTTTATTCTTTTGTGATTATATGAATATATTGTATATATTTGTGTTTGAATATGGAAGCACTTGCATCTTGTGTGTGAATGTTCATGTTTAGTCTGTGCTGTTGTGTCTAATGAATTGTATTCACGCTGTGGCACCATGTGCATCGTGGTTGTTGTGTGTGCGTGTGTGTGTCGATGGCAAAGAAGTGGCATCCTCGGCGGTGGGAGGGCCAGCGTCTCTCGTTCTTGCACAGGCTCAGAGAGACGCTCCTAGAGAAACTCAGGCGCAGTCGCTCTTTTGGCGATCTGGCTGCACTGAGACCTCGTTCAAGGTCCAGTCTGGAAGTCTACGTGAGTCAGGTCACTGTGTGCCCTGCACTTCTGAGTGAACATCTGTGTGGCTCTTTTCTTTGCTTGTGTTTTCTGCTTCAACTCTGATTTTTCACACAATAAACACACGTTTCTTCTCACTCATATTAACACATACACATTTTCAAACTATGATATTAGATATTTAAAGACCCCATGAAATAAAAATTGTGGCTTTTAGTTCATGTTAGCTTTTGTGTGGATAATTCCACTGTGGGGGAGTGCTGACAAAGAAGAGAGAGTGAGTTCATGTTAGCTTTGACTTTTTTTTTTTCCAGGAAGATGGACTTAAAATATCGACTAATTTTATCCACGGGAGCATATAGAAATTGTTGTTCAATTACAGTAAATGAAAATCTGACCAAAAACCCCCTACCTACTGTACAATGAAATAGACCATCTTACTGACATGTTAAGTTACATGTTTAAGGCACTCACATGTAAACTTGACAAATCACATGTGCACAAAAATATCAACCCAGTTTATTTTAAACAAAGGTTGTTGTAGTTTTCACAATTGCTTTCCAGTTTTATGTGCAGTAGGTATCTGATGGTCAATGAATAGACTGTAGGATGTCCCACCACAGCTTCCTGGAAAGAACATTTGAATTTGTTAAACCAGGGTTTCCCAAATGAAGGAACTGCTGGGGGTTCCTGAGTTGATGAAAAGCTATTTTATTTCATTTAAAAATAAACATGATTAAATAGTTTATTACAGAATATACACTAATGTTCAAAAGCTTTTGCAAGAAGTCTCTTATACTCATCAAGACTGCATTTGATAAAAAAAATGTTCTATTTGAATATATTTTAAAATGTAATTTATTGCTGTGATCAAAGCTGAATTTTCAGCATCATTATTCCAGTCTTCAGTGTCACACGATCCTTCAGAAATCATTCTAATGTGCTGATTTACTGCTCAAGAAACATCAGTTGAGCTGGTTTTTATCAGGGTTCTCTGATGAATAGATAGTTTAAAAGAACAGCATTTGAAATCTTTTGTAACATTGTCTTTACTGTAATATTTGATCAATCGAATGCATCTTTTCTATCAATTTCATTTAAAGAAAAAAAATTACTCAAGCTTTTGGACAGTAGTGCATTTAATGGAGAAATGTAAACATGCAAATGTGTTGTTAAAATATAGAAATATTAACTTAAAATCTTAGGGGTTACTTCAGGTCAGTGTTTTAGGTCAAATAGTTTTGGCTGACAAAACATTTGGGAATCCCTGTGTTAAACCATTTAGTGGAAGTCTTTAATTGTTCTGCTGCTCTTTATTGTTCTGGACATGTGGACAGAAAATATTGTTTGTATCTTTAGATAACTAAAATTATATATAGATAGTAGTGCTGATAAGAATAAATGGCATCAGGGAGCCATATTTACCATATTTTCTTTCTCTTTCCATCACACAGTCCACTTTACCAGATGATGTCTTTGAGAACGGAGGCTGCGGTGTGGCCGAATGCAAGCGTCTGTCCTTCACCTTCTCTGACACGCCCACCTCAAGCCCCGCCCCCATCCAGTCAAACCCTGAGATCACCGTCACGCCCCCTGAGATGGACCCTCCCTCTGAACCGGCTCCAGCCTCTGAGGAGCAGCCGGTTGAGGAGGAGTGTGTGGAGGAAGACTGCGGAAGTGTCAGTGCCAGCGATCCAGACCTGGAATGGGACCAGGCTGAGGTCCAGGGGCACGGCACAGGCTCGGCGGCCCCCTCGCTGTGCTCTGAGAGTCAGCTGTCTGTGGTGGGACTTGAGGATGTGGTGTTCTTGGAGCCCAATGTGTCTGACGAAGCCCTGGAACTGAAGCCAGTGGAGCTAGACGGGGAGGAAGGCAGTCTGACCAGGCAACTGGTGAGGAGGCTCACCTCCTCTGACATGCTGCCCGAGGCCGGCGCTGTGAGCTGGTCTGGAGAGAGCAGCAGGACCTTCCAGGAGAGCAGCCTGGAGGAAGCCATTCAGTCCCTGCTCCTGCGGCTGGAGAGCTTGGGCCAGCGCTGCGGGGAGCTGCAGGACTTGGAGCAGGAGGTCATGAGACTCGAAGACCTGCTTAAGGTGAATGAGTTCTCTGTGGTCTTCAATTAGAAGAGTTACTGTTGAAATTTTGATGCAGACCTGAGTTTGTGTGATCATGAAGCTTGGTTCATTTGATTAGCATGAACTTAGGTACCAAAGAATGACAGTCAGTTGGAAAAAGGCGGTCTAGGGTTCAGATAATCTACTGAGTCCACCTTGAATCCAAATCCAAGACCATATTTTCGTGGTATTAGTCTTGTCATGCATTCAGGAGCATTTGTCTTGAGACCAAGGATGCATCCGAAATCGAATACTTCCCTAATATATTGTAGGCAAAAAACAGTATGTGAACATAGTATGTCCAAATTCACAGTATTCATAAAACAGTATGCCAAAAGTCTCTGGATGACCTACTATTTCTGGTTCTGAAGTGTGCATCTGATTGACACTTTGCTATCCAAGTTGTGAATGGCAGTGAAGCAACGCAACTGACGCTGGTAGGTCGCATGACAATGACGACATGACGAATGTAGTATGTTTGGATTAAATTCATTCTACACACATTCATACTATTTAGAACATACTTTTTAAACAGTTGTTAAAAGGATAGTTCACCCGAAAATGAAAATTACCCCATGATTTACTCACCCTCAAGCCATCCTAGGTGTATATGACTTTCTTCTTTCAGACGAATCCAATCTGAGTTATATTAAAAAATGTCCTGACTCTTCCAAGCTTTATAATGGCAGTGAATGGGGGTCGAGATTTTGAAGCCCAAAAAAGTGCATCCATCCATAATAAAAAGTGTCCCACACAGTTCCGGGGAGTTAATAAAGGCCTCCTGAAGCGAAGCAATGCGTTTGTGTAAGAAAAATATCCATATTTAAAACTTTATAAGCCATAATCTCTAGCTTCTGCTAACAGTCGTACGTGTGTTCATGAGAGAGTGGCGTTCCAGCGGATGATGTAGGTGTAGCGTAAGCTCTGGTGAGAATATGCTAGTCTCGTGAGAAGCAAGTTTTGTTTCAAGCAAAGGAAAATTGTTCTCCTCTTGGCTTATACAGAAATGACATTTTTCTTTATAAATCCTCATTTTGTACTTCTAATTCGTGACCGGTGTTTTGTTTTGCTCTCTCCGCTGCGCTTCCACGTTCGTCACTTCTCACCGGAGCTTATGTTTTTGCATTGGCGGAGATTTGCATGATACAAAACCAGGCTTCATTCACCACAAAAGAAGGCATATTTAGGGGCCATTCACATAAAACATGTTTTTGTGTTTAAAAAGAAGAGAAGTGTTTTTTTTTTTACTTTGAGCATTACGTTTTTAGAACGTCCTGACATGTGCAAGACTCTGCAGAAGACTTAGAAAAACAACTGAAAAACAGCGAAGTGGAATGCAAAAACTTGTTGTGTGTGAACTAACACCTTACACTGTCTGAATCGTTCAGACCCTCTTCAGGTCTCTGTCTTATCTTCGACTTGACTCTTCTGATCTTAGTCTTGAATGAAGGTTGTCGTCTCTCCTCAGTGTCGGGTACCTGCCCATAGGAGCCGTTCATCAAGCCTCAGTTTGACAGTGGAGAGCGCTCTGGAAAGTTTCGACTTCCTCAACACCTCTGACTTTGATGACGATGACACAGGAGATGATGCTGCCGCCCTCTCACGCGCTGTCTTCTTTGACATGGAGTTAGAGAGAATCGGGTGAGTTGGACATTAAACCCTTCGGTGATCAGGTTTCTCTGAGGAACTTGACTACATGGCCTCAGTAGTTGTATTTATGTAGCGCCCTCTGGTGGTGACAGTGTATCTTGCACGTTCAACAGGTCAGGCCAACATCCAGAAGCAAGAGGCCACCTGAGTGAAGCCCTCACGGAGGACACTGGTGTGGGGAACAGTGTGGCCGGCAGCCCGTTGCCTCTCACCACAGGAAACGAGAACCTAGACGTGGCCATCGTTGTTCAACTACAATACTGCAATCATCTCATTCAGGTGATTCTGTTTTTCCACCTTTACAACATTACAAGATTCCACAATAGTGTGATTTTTATTTGTTTGTTACACCGAACATGGTCAGTCGACAGCACATTTACGGCATAAACAGATTGTGTGTGTGTTTATTTAATATAAAATGCTGAAGTTTCTCTATGTATGGGATGCAGTTGTTGACCACAGGAGGAAGCCAGTCGCAGCACATGACATACCTGCACAAACTATCAATTCAAACACTTCTGTTGGAGGAGCTCAGTGAGAAAAACTTTGACAGACCGGGCAGCTGCATTTTAGTGTCTGATGGTGAGTGTATCTCAAGTGTTAATGTTTACTAGTCCTTGTGGAAAAATTATGATGTTACAGTGACTTCTCACATGTACTTTAAAGATTTTTGGCTGTTTAAGCATAATATTTATTTTGTTAAAGTGTATATTTTTGCTTTGACAGAATGGGTACACTAGTGCAAAAGACATTTCTGCTAGAACATTATTATAGCACTTAATTATTATAGCAGTAATCAGGGTCTAAAATGAACACTCGCCAAGTGCAAGTAATAATCAGTTATTGAAATCGTTTTTTTTTTTTAGCCTCAACAATATTACAAACTTTAAATGAAATAGCAAAAATTATAATCTGACACTCAATGACGCGAGTAACAATTTTTCAAAACAAAAACAGACAAATGTTTACCTAACTATGGAAAATTTGCTATTGTACATTTATTTTCAGGATTGCAAACACTCCCAGGAAAAAAAAAATCAGCTTTAAAATATAGATTTACAGTCCATTTTAGCATGAGGATATAGGGAAAAGACCTTACAGTATATGGTGTAAAAAAAAAAAAAAACTATATAATAATAATATTAACTGTTATTATTATTTGCTAAACAAAATTTTATTAAATTATAAAATCAATATAGATAGTTTACTATAGTAATAATGCTGTAATAAAAAAGTATGTAATACATACTTTTCATACATTTAATACATAATACATTTTAAAATATTTTTTTGAAGTAAAACATTTTTTCAAATATGTGATGACATGTATGTGTGGTATTGCATAAACTAAGTCACCAAATGAAAATATGAGGAACAAAATCAGAATCTGTCCTGAGTTTTTTGTTAAACCAAGGAATTATAATACAAGTGACAAACTGACCTGCAGTTATAAATGGTGAAATACAATTTCATACCATCTAAGAAATATTTATGACCAATAAAATTTCTTAATTCATTAGTAAGGTGCTGTTAAAAGTTGTGTTTGAAGTGAAATAACCTCTCTTGGTTCCCTAAACAGTACTGCCTGGGCTGGTGGAGCGTCCGGCGCTGATGTCTCTGTGGTCCGACTGCAGTGGTGGTCTGTTTCATACTACACTGGACCGAGTGCTGAAGCACATGCATCTCAGCTTTGCCTTACCACTGCAACAGATTCTGCCTCACTCTCCTGACTCAGGTAGTGACAATAACAACAATATTAATCTGCAGGGGGAAACATCAGCAGTGAATGTAACACCAGCGTTCATCTACCTGTGTCTGCATGTGTGTCCAGTGATCAGGATGGTGGTGAACGAGATGATGGACAGGAGCGAGCTGGCCTCATGCTTGTGTCCTTCACCGTCATCTCTGGCACAGGATGTCATCACCGTGTTTCAGTTTTACCGCTACACTGTTGAACACGATATCACGGACATGGAGCGACACTTGCTGGATTTAGCCAAAGAGGGTAAAGATGCTTTTATTGAATAATAACGATAATAACGAATAATGAGTTTAAAGCTTTATAGATTATTAGCACAGTTTTTGCATAGTGTAATATTTCTTTTTTGTGTCTAAACCAGTCATGCTTGAAGAAGCCCTGAGCTGTGTGGATACAGAACGCTGTGTGAAGGAGCTGCAGGAAGTGTCCGTCATGTGTCTCCAGCCCCGTCCTCAAACCCTCTGGGCCGTGGCAGCGCTGTTGACCTCTGATGATCCTGACGTGATGAAGGCCGCCACAGCCTTCCTCTCCTCTGCTGCCTCACACAAGCCCTTCAGGTCAAAGGTCAGTCTTTTACCTGGCTTGTACAGCCCAAGGTTGGCTATGGTGGAGTTGATTAATGGATTAGTCTATAGCCGGATTTAAATCTACATAAACTAACATTCAAAAGTTTGAGGTTGGTAAGATTTTTTTTTTTATGCTTTTGAAAAAGGTCTTTTATGTTCTCTGAGGCTGCATTTATTTGATCAATACAGTATAACCAATAATATTGTGAAATAGTTTTACAATTTAAAATAATAGTTTTCTATTTTAATATATTTTAAAATGTAATTTATTCCTGTGATGTCAAAGATGAATTTATAGCAGCCATTACTCCAGTCTTCAGTGTCACATGATCCTTCAGAAATCATTCTAATATGCTGATTTAGTCAATGTTGAAAACAGCTGAGCTGCTTAATATTTTTGTGGAAACCATGAATTTAATTTGTTTTAAAATCAGGATTCAGGATTGATGAATAGAAAATTCAGAAGAACAGCATTTTATTTAAAATAGAAACCTTTGGTAGCATTATAAATGCCTGTACTGTCTTTTTATCAATTTAATGCATCCTTGCTAAATAAAACTGTAATGACCCCAGACTTGGTATACAGTGCCTTGCGAAAATATTCATACCCCTTCATTTTTTTCACATTTTGTTAAGTTGCTGCCTTATGCTAAACTGAAAGAACTGCCTGTAGAGCTCAGAAACAGGTTCGCATCAAGCCACACATCTGGGGAAGATTTCAGAAAAAAATTCTGCTATCAATTCTGTTTTTGCTTTGTCAGTATGGTGTATGGAGTGTAGATTGATGAGCAGTTTAACATAAGGCAGCAACATAACAAAATGTGAAAATATGAATGGGGTATGAATACTTTCGCAAGGCACTGTAGTATTTTAATGCAATTTTGTGCAATTCTTGCATGGTGAAATGGTGAATAGAAATTCTAAGATGCAAATAAAAAAGTCCAAAATGCATAAAAACTATGATGGAAAAAGTGAAACACTATGATGCATCTTAGATGCATATCTTATAACTACATAATCAGATACAAATAATAAAATAAGAAATAATATAAATGAAGAAATAAGAAACCATAAAATATGAATATTGATCAATTAAATGCAAATTTGAATCATAGCAACGTGCATAAATAGATGTACAGTTGAGGACACCAGGAGGTGAGCAAGTAGTTAATCTTGTCTATGTGTGTTTGTCTTCAACAGGCTGTTGATTGTTACACACAAGTCTTATCAGAAGCAGACAGATCAAGAGATGCATGTGCCGCTCTGAGCTGCCTGCAGGTCAGTTTGACTCATTGTTTGGATCACACGTCACTTGAACTGAAGATTAAATCTTATCTGTGATTGTTTACAAGACTTTTCATTAAGCCTCTCTGTCTCGGATTATTTTCAGGCTGTGGAGAGCATTGATGCTGTGGTGTTACTGTGTGACTCAGCCGATGAAGATCTCCGTCATATTGCCATAGAAACCCTCCTCACTTTAGGTAAAACATCCAGTCACACGAATTACATCCTCTGCACTATTAGTCAGTTGAGTGATGCTTATAGTTTATGCTCTTTCTGCAAATTAGTGTAAATTTGACTGAGACCCCATTCTAGACAGCAATGTATTAGACAAAAAATGTGTATACGATGAAGTCATCAATATTTTTGGTCTGTTTTTCCAGAAGAGAAAGAAAGTGTCTTAAATAATGTTTTCTCAAATGCAAGGTCATAAAAATTATTAGATATATTAAATGGTGTAACAAAAGTCATAATTAATATTAAGAGATTTTAAATTTGGGGATGGAAAAACAGGAATCACGATACAGCCTAATGTGATTATTAAACTTGTAAAGGCTGTTGAAGGTTCAAAATCAATGAACACCGCACATTTATTGAATTATAAATTATGACAATGTTTACTTTTTGGTGTTTATATTGTAATATGATGTAGATTTAAGAGTGCTTATTTTATCTACATCTTTTTGAACGAGCAGCTGGGAATAGGAAAGCAAAGACATTTCAAAATAAATGTCCCAGAGTATTTCAGCCTTTTTTATAATTAAAAGGGAAGGAAAGACTAAGAACATAAATTTACCACATTCAGTATATAGATTTTATTAATATTGGCACACTCTGTTAATTGCCTTTCTTTAAACACACTATTATTTTATCAGCAAACTATTATTATCAGTGTTTTAAACAGTTGTGTTGCTTAATATTTTTTATTTTTTTATTTCAGGATTCCTTTTTCAGGTCACTTTTGATCAATTTAATGCGTTCTTGCTGAATAATTTCTTAAACAACTCTTAATGACAACAAACTTAACTAAGTAAAAGAATCTGGGATATAATATTTATTTAGAGACTATGGGTTTGTTCACTGTAGACATACAGTATCAATTTTATTAAAAATTGTATTAAAAATTTGAATGCTGTGTAAATTACACATGGTCTCAATGCTTGTAAACATCACCTAAATACTACAACTCCAGCCTTCCTGTGTCTTACAGAGCATGTTTGTTTCTGTTCTCAGGTGAAGACGGGCGGCTGGCTTACGAGCAGTTGGACACAGTACCGAGGGAGATCTTGCGGCTGGGGACTCGCCGCGGTAACGCTGTTACCACTTCATTTTAGAAAAACGACTCGTTATTCCCCTGTGACCCTGCACACTTCAGACACACCACCTGCTAACAAGGGAAAAAGTGAAGCTTGGCCTTTCTATTTAGGCCCATATCTCGAGATCTTCAGCACAGAGTCTCCTTTTCTGTAGGATGTTTGCATTTATACTACTCGTGTCACAGTGGTCATGAGTCATTGTTGCTGATTGAACAATAAGAGTGTTAATATTGAAAGTTAGTTATTTGCAGATTGCAGTTGCACTGTTGGAGGCATGTAAATAGAACAGAAAATCCTATTTTCATTTTGTCCTGGGATTCCTTGTGCTGTTTTTAATGGCTGTAGTGCATGGTAAATTTTACAATTTTTTTTACACCATGTACAATATGAGAGGATCAAGAAACAAAAGAGACTGGTTACTGCACTGACATTAGAACAGCTGTCGCTCATTACATGTATTACAATATCATTTCAAACAGTTTCATGATCCAGTCCATGGCATAGCATGCTGGGAACTAGAAATTCACAGTCCAGTTTCAGGGAATAATGGCAACAAAAATAATTCATGCAGTCCGTAACGAAATTACATAATGACAAAATGTCCAGTAATTGTGCTGCTTTAGTTCATTTTCATGAAATTGACCAAGCTTTAACATGGAGAATGTTTCCGAAGCCAGTGGGCACCATAAGAGAACCGTTTTGTTGGAAATGTCCTCTTTGCTTCTGTAAAAACGTGCTAAAGGGATGACGTCACGACAACACGCTGAATGAAATGAAAACAACATTCTGTTTTGAAAAAAAGCTTTTTGAAAAGTGTTTCAAGACAGGCAGCCGCATGATTCGGTTCCTCTCCTCATTTTACGATAATTACATCAAGCCTTATTTTTTCTCCCGTGGGGAAGAAGCAGACAGAAGCCACAAGAATAAGATCTACAAGCCTGGTCGACTGATCCAGAACACGCAGCTGCCCACAGCAGAAAGAGCGGACGCAGCTCGGGACATTGGGATCTTAAGTTACACAGGTGATGAAAAAACATGTCTATATTACAGGCGTCCCACACCTTTTTATTATGGAATGAAGTGATATTTTTAACCATGTAACTAAAACCGCCAGCAGGAGCTCTTAATGAGCGAGTCATTGCATCACTGTGTCAAACAATGCGTTAGCAGCGAATACTGTGTCTAGTAGTGTAGATACCAACGGCTTTGGCTGGTAATTTGGTTTGAAAACGTACTGAAGTACATACTGAATTTAACGCGGTTGAAAACGAAGCTGTTACGGAGACTTACACACTTTACAATGGCACGCAGTGTATGGTCTCAGATCAAGTCATTTTCACTAAACAGCTGTTTTTTTCCCCCCGGAAATACCTTCGAACGTACAATTCAGTGAACGCACTTCCATTCTTCACAGCCTCATTTTAATTCCTGTCAATGAAAAAAAGAGGGTTGCATGAATTAAATAGTTTTTTTGTATGACCTTATGTAGCTCCGCCCTTTTCAGCGCTGCGCTGGTTGTCTTCTGTCTTTCTTCCGTTTGTATTTCACAACGTGAACCAACGTCGTAACGTTACACATGAATGAACCATTCATTTTTAAAAATCAAGGAGGAGTGTTCAAAACTCCAAACATTTGATAGCTCTAAAAAGCCCTGAATGTGCTCTTTACAAGACAAAAGTGTGGCACGTAGGGCCTGAGAGAAATTTACTCAAATATAATGTCCTCTACAGGAGGACAAAAGGTCTATGCCTGGGTCCCAGGAGGATATGTAAATCCACTTCACCTGCTCATTACTCTTCTTGTTTCTCTGGCACATAGGGTTGTAGTATGCATATTTGGAGGCAGTGAATGTCTTTACGGCAGTCATTCAAAAAGATTTTGTAATGAAACATCACAGTGACGCTCAGAAGCACAATAGTTATACTGTGACCTTGTTTGGAACCATTATCATTGATGGAATAGAGCTAAAATAGTCGATATGTCAAGTGAAACACAGCAAAGGCTTATACCAGTTACAAACCCTACTAATGATTTAAACCATTTTAGGAGGTTATGAACATGCAGCTGAAGCAGCAGATGAGAACATGGCAAGCATGGTAGAGCTCCTGAAAACACCGTACCTTAAGGATCAGCACGTCATTCGAGTCCTAGAAGGCCTCAGTGCAATCTGCTACCTCCACGTCGCCAACCAAGACAAGGCACAAGCACTTGGGCTCCCTGACACCCTGCTGGGGTTCATATCTCCAATCAGTAAACGCTCCTTTACATCACAGCGCTGGAGCTGCCATCTACTCATCATCCTCTGTTGCCACAACATCCCTATCATCTGCCACCTCAAGGACTCCAACACCCTGCAGTCTAGTCTGGAGAAACTGGCGAGTCTGGACTGGGATGGATGACCTTTAAACTACGCTCAGGAGCTTCTCAGGGTTTTAGGATTTCAGCAGAGCTTGAAGAAAGATGCTTTGAATGAGGAAGATGAGCTGAAGGGCTGCTCTTACACCAAGAGTGGTCACATGTTAGGTAAACCATTAAAAAGCATGTGTACAAAATATGAGTTTATTTCCATTGTATGCATTCAATTTTACATATGTACACTAGCAGTGAACATGCACATTAACTACAGGTACTGAAAATAAAAGCTAATTTACAGCAAGAGTAAAAGTATTAAAACAAAAGGTGCATATCTGTTCTCAAAGGCAAAGATAAACATTCAAATAAAAACCAAACAACTGAACCATCATGGTTCTTTTCGGTTTAGCATTTTTCAGGATGCATCATTTCAGCTTTCATTTGCTGTGGAGTCATTCTTTTGTGGCACAATATGGTCATGTGACTGTTCGGTGCTCAGTTCAACACGGTCCTGGCTCTCATCAGCTTCACTCTCATCTCCATGTTCTTCCTCGTCATCTTCAGCGTCAAAAGCCATCTCACGCAGCTCCTCTAGACTGTCTGGACTTTTACCGGTTAATCTCTGAGAGAAGTGAAAGACTATTAGAGAAATAACTAGGGAAATTGAGGCAGGTTATTTTAATCTCTAGCCCAACCCTAATGGTGGTTACACTCACTTAGGGGTGTCCCCGACTAAGGATTTTCATAGTGGAATCAGAATTTTCTAATCTTGCCGAGATTTTACACAGTGGAATCATGTTTTGGGGGCAGGGCAAAATACATTACCAAGAGTCAAGTCAGATATTCGACAGTCAAAATTACGTTAAAACACAGAGATAGTGTAAAAGACGCGTCGCAGATACAAATGGGGTAAATAATGTTTTGTTTTGATTAAAAGATAGTTAACATTAAACATCAGCGAAACCCTAAGAATTCACAATTTTTTATTTTTATTTTTACAATAACGCGGCTGACGTTATTGCCTGTGTCACTGGTAACAAAACGGATCGTCTCGGCATCGGAAAGTAGGGAGACTGACCGGCCGGTCACCGATCAGTGCAGATCATGAGGAAAATCGGCAGATTCCGATCCCTAGCCGATTTATCGGTGCATCCCTACAGCCAACAATATTGCTGTAGGCTCTGTGTAAACTACAAAAACACAAATTTCTGAAAAGGACGTCAAGTACATTGTGTGTTCAATCTATAGGCATGTGCGCAGGTGCCTAGGGTTTCTTTATAAAGTTACACCAATTATTGGCCTTGCATGCATAATACAGCATTTTTAGTAGTTTCCAGAGACCAATGTGAATTGAGATCAATTTGACAATATTGTCAGTGCACAATTTTTCAAAGGAAAAAAAGAATAAAAAAAATAAACTCTGTATGGAATCCTGATTTTTTTTCAGTGGTACTAACGTGTATATTAGCATTCTCTTTTCTTTTGGCATCCTAAAGCATTTGGACTCAGAAACTGATGTCACTGACTTCACAAGTGCATTAATATAGAATAGAGCACTTAATACAGAATAGCGCTCTTACTTCAATCATGTCAGCCATGTGTTGTACATGCTGTGTCAGCTCCTGTAACTCCTCATTTTCACTCTTCAGCTGAGCAATCCGTTCATCTTTGGCTTCAATGTATTTGTGCAACTAGTTTTGAAACAAAGTTAAACAAGTGAACACCGACTCCCTCTGCTCTTCCTTAATGGTCTGATTAGAGGTGTGGTGCCGAAGTCTTACGATATTACAAATCTTATTTAAAAAGCTTATTTCTATAATATTTAAAAGCAGACAAAAAAAAAGTCACCTATAAATCATAAACACAGAACAACGGATTCATCAGCCCTATAGAGAGAGAAGTGGAGTAGGATGGCCAATAATTAGCAAATCCCCTATTGATTAACTCACCTTTTCATTCTCTTGGAGAACACTGAACAGGGCTTTCCGCCTCTCTTCTGCCACCTCCTTCCAGTAGGAGGACCCAGGAATTTCTAAAGAGAGGGGGGGGGGGAAATAGTTCCAATACTAAGTTACAGGAACTATCCATCACCATTACCGTATTGGCCCGAATATAAGACGACCCTGATTATAAGACGACCCCCCCTTTTTCCAGATGTACCTTTTGGAAAAAGGCTTTTTAAAAACCAAATCTTGTTTTTTCTCAGTAAAACATTTTGTCTTCAATTATTTTCATATTGCATATTTTTCCTATTTTAATTTTTGTTTTGAAAGTATGGTAAAAACTGGTAAAATGTACCAACAATCACATTTAAAATTCTATTTCATCCTACCCTGAACTGCATCCAATATAAATTTCATCAATCTGATAGTATAACACACACACACACACAAAAGAATCTCGCTTTCATCACACCTTCTAGACAAAATATTGACAATAGGTTGAGGCTTTCATGTTCTCACAAAGCACTGAAGCAGACAAAAGTTTACTAATAAATGCTTTAGCACAAAAGACAGAGCATATAAATATTGTTGAACCATGAAATGTTCTCGATATGGCAGTGCTGTTTTTTCATGTCACAATGGTCAGATTTGTTGTTGCATGACATTGTCTCTGTATGACAGCG